ACTGGGCAGACGTCAGGAGTTTGTATGGGTCCGTCCCTCGAGATTGTCTTAATGCGTTTAAAGCGTCTCGAGCGGGGTTTACGTGTTTTGTTAACTCTGACCTCTGACCAGTTGTTCCTAGACTGTGGAACACTGTCGCGGAGAAATTTCTATTTTTGAGTCTTGTTGACTTTATTTGTTAAGGCCATATTATAGGTGTCTATAATATTATGCGCTTCATCAAGATCGGCCTGGGACATGATATCGTTGAGGGATGATTCTAAGGACTTGATCTCACACTTTAATTGTCCTAACTTGTGGATATCCCAAGAAAGACAGAGTGACATCAATTGTTTAGAACATCTCCTTGTAATAACGCCCCAGCGTTCCTGAAAGCGTTTGGAGATTGGCCCTATGTTAGGTGTAACATTTATCTGAAAGCCTTTCGGTATAATGTCACACTCTAAGTAGGTCTGTAAATTGGAGACCCGGTGTTCAGTTTTTATTGATTTTTGGTGTTCTTTCTTTAGAAATTTGAATGTTGAATTATCTTTAACAGACATATTTGAAAGGAAATTATAATTGCCAAAATGATAAGACTACTTCTAAGTTTTTAGTCGTATGAAGTCGAAAGATTCAACGAACGATTGTTCTGTATTTTAACGTATTTCGTAGATAATTCGTGCAAGAATTCAAAAATTTTAAAAACAAATGGTACTTGAGTAAAACTCGAAAGGGAAATGCGGAAAAAACTAATTTGCAAAGGTTGGAAACAAAATAAATAGTAAAAAACGTCAAATAATGAAAGACATAACCAAAAACAAATGAAAAGAACAGAAAATATAAAAGTCCCACTTTTGCAAAAGAGGCTACAATGCCCGCACCGTACAAACAGCTATTGATGAGATGGCGGGACATGACTTTTTAACTTTTTTCTTTGTCCTGAGGAAGGGACAGGGCGTCCCGAAAATTTGACAACTTTTGTTGTTCGTGTCGTTGGTCATTTTAAGTGCTTTTATATATATATATATATATATATATATATATATATATATATATATATATATATATATACATGTATATATATATATATATATATAGAATATATATATATATATATATATATATATATATATATATATATATATATATATATATATATATATATATATATATATATATATATAGAAAGGATTGTACTCATATATATACCCGGTTACCCGGGTACTCGATCGAACGTCCGAGTATCGAATACTAAAATCGGTACTCGGTTACTCGGATGTATATTTTTTAAGATTTCAAAGCTTATTTATTAATGCATTAAACAATCTGTTTTAAAACGTAAAATACTCATTGCACTTGTACATACTGTAATTAGGGTTTCCTACTCCTCTAAATGACCGTTATCGTCCGTGGCAGTGTTTATACGGCAATTATCGTGACCAAGCACCTGTTACCTGGCTTTTCTCACCTTCGACTGTCTTCTGTTTTTTGTTTAACTTTAATTATTTGTTTTCACTGAACATCGTTTAAGGTCTATTTTATTTAAATAAATTAGATAATTTTGTCAATTCTCATAGAAGCCGTTAATTCTCGGGAAAAGAGCGGATGATATTACACGTGCGATTGTTGATATGGTTGTGTTTGATTACATGCCAATACAACTGGAAGGCATTTGGCTTTAAAAAACTAAGGTCCATCGTTGCACCAAACTACAAAATACCGCACCGTAATATTATAAAATCTAGGATCGAAAAAGTGTACGAAAATCGTAAATCCGCTCTGTTAGGAGAACTACTTGATCAAGTTCAAGTTGATACTGTACAGAGCTAGAGTGACTACTGATACCTGGTCGTCAAACGCGACAAAGAGTTACAATACAATTACATGGAAGATTATTATTTTTTTTAAACAAAAACACCGTCTGTATAGGATAGGTTCCCATTGCCGTAACCCTTTGCGAAATCCAAAAGTTTCTAATACTTATCTAAATATAACTATCTGTATCAAAAGCGTTTTCAAAATCTACTTACAAAATTCTTTATACTTGTGTAATCAATTATATGTTCTTATATTTTCTCCTTTATATCTATTTTCAATGTATCCTGTTTGATCAGCATCAACTACATAATACAGAAGTTTTTTTTATTCTACTTGCGAGAATTTCTGCTAATATTAAAAATTTTTATTATCAAGTACAAAATTCAGTAACTAAATTAGTCTCCAATTCTTTAACAAAGTTCGATTTTTATCTTTTCCAGGTACAAGAGAAATGATTCCCTTTCTTTGATCTCAAGAAAGAGATAATTTCTTAATACATTGTACTTTCATTTAAACTATTTACCACTAGGTCAGCTATTTAAGGTCAAAAGTACTTATAAAATTAAATTGAAGTACATCACTTCCTTGAGATTTATCTAATCTAAAATCTTTTAAAATATTCGTCTTTACTTATTAAACCTTAACATGTTAGAAAATCTTCCTTAAGAAGTTTTGGAATATTTTCACAGTCCACAAAATGACTATATTTTTGATAATTGCTTTTCTCCCTAAATTAGTTGAGTTAAGGAATAACTGTCTAATTTTTTGATTTCATGATGTGATCAATCAAGTGGCTTGCGTGATAATTTGCATAAATTACGAAGGAGTTTATGCATAAAATTATCACATGCCAATCGATTGATTATCGTCATGAAATTAAAAAAATCTAACAGTTATTCCTTATATTTACATGCTCTTGATTCCGCCAATTCACGTGCTACAGGCCCCGCTTCTGTCTCCACTTGTCCCGCCCTGCACGTGATTTTTTTTTTAACCTTGCCTGTCGATGAACCAGTACATTTATGTAGAAATAAAGTACATTAATATTTGTAATTTTATCTTGGACAAAGACAATGGAATTGTAAATATTAAAGATTTTCAAAGAAATTTTCTTCTTCTTTGAGGATTTCAATTTTATCAAATATAATCTTATCATTAACCACTAACTTATACACTTATTTCTGTAGTTTGGCAAACTAGATGTTGAAACAAGAATATCAACAGTTTCATTTAAACTTATCATTTTGCAATTTGTATACTCGATACAATGGCCTTGTCAGCAATTGAATTAATCATTATGTCAGATGCTGACTGTCATTTTTTCATACTAATTTTTAGACCATTATTTCAACACTGAATTGTCTTTGGAAGCTTCCGTTTACCGTATCATGACAAGGAGCACACGGCAGGTGTGGTCAGTCGGTAGGGGATGCTCACTCCTCTATGGCACCTGATCAAACCTCTGATGTTTTTAGAGGTCCGTGTTTGTTCTGCTTTCGTTTGGGCTTTTTTTAAAAGGATTTTTGAGCTTGATTATTGTTCGTTAACTCCATATTTCATGTTTAAAAAAAGACAAAATGCGTGATTTTCTTACAGACAATGAATAATAAATGCCCTTAAGGTAGGATTCTTCTCTGGTTTCTGACTAGATGAAACATTCAAAGTATATTTGCTTATATGTCTTATATAATTAATTGTAAGGGATTTAAAAGACCATATTTTTCTTTCCTCATCAGAATTGTACAACTTTAAATAGAAATGGTAAACTGCCTTTGAAAACTAGCAGGGACTATATTTTTGGCGGAATGGTGGCGTATGAAAATATCTTCTTTTCTGCCTCTCAAAATTATGACAGAACAATGAATTTAGTTAAAATCTTTAAACAATCAAAGGCTTGAAGAAATTTTCAAATGGAAGTTAAATTAATTATTAGGGACTAAACTTTCTATATATATATCAAATAAATATGATTTTTCAAGCAAAGTAGAACTTTGTAAGATTTTAAACGCTTCCAGTCAAAGTACAGATTTGAGCCAAAAAAAAGTACTTTTTCTCTCTTAGTAAACTATCAAAACGTTTTGTTTTTGTGTCATTTTGTACATTTATAAGACAACTTTATTATATGTGAAGATAAGAAAAAGTCAAATATAGGAAGCTTATGAAAATAACTAATATATCCTAAAAAATTAAGAAAAACAGAGAAAATTCGGATAAGCGAATATCCAGATTAGTTAAATCATTTATGTAAATTTGGTAATATCATGCTATAGAAGCGATATGGTAATATCTTTTTATGCAAAAGAAACAATCTTTAATTTCTTGAAATAGAAGTAGGCATCACATGATTGGCAACAGTCCTTTTTTATAAATAATGTCAAGGAAAAAGATAATGACCCTTGACCTGACCTTGACTCTAATATAAAACGGTCAAATTTAATATCACTAATACTATCACTTACTGATATTGTCTTCTTGGTTCTGTGAAAATTTCATTAATTTTTAAATACAAGAAATATGAGAAGAATCCTATTTTGATGTTATAATCATGATAAAATAATTTTTTTAAAAGGTTACAAATGAGGATTATTCATATTTACAATCCAACTGTTTCCATGACTATAGATGTTGGAGACTGGAAAAATTTATTCCATGTAAAAACACAATTACATAAATAGTTCACAGAGAGAGATAATTAAGAGTAAAAAAGGTCGCCGAATTAAGCTCTTATTTCTCAGATGTTGTATACACAATTGACTGTGGGACCTTTTAAATGTTTCTGTGAACTACATTTTACATTAAATTTTACCAAAGTATGATTTCCAATAAATTATACACATGTAAGTTATCCATGTTGAGTTAACTCATTCTGTGTGATATTCGATTTAAGGTTTACCATCCCTCTAAACTCTCATATGAAATCTTTCCTAAAATCTTTGATCATCCAAAAGAAATCTCATTTATAGCTAAAATACACACGAATGCACACAATCACCATACCTTGCAAAATTTGGCAGAAATGGCATGTAAATCTGTCATTTTTATAAAGAAACAATAGTAGTTATACGTGTTAGACTTACTAGTATTTCATTATCAGAATAAAAATAAATCTAAAGACACCCTTTAATAGTGACTTGCAGGGGACTTTTTAAAAAAAAAAAAAACTGTATGTGTTAAATTTTGTCCCTTTGTGACTTTTGCAGTGTCCAGCACCCATTGCCCTTTTCTTTGTTGATGCTAGAGGTCAACTGATGCCAGTAGCGATACAACTCTTTCAACAGAAGGGACCTGATAACCCGGTAAGATTTTATCCTCACATGTTAACTACTGACTTTTTTAATTGGACAAAGAGGTTATTGCAACAACTATACAAAAGTTGAGCACTAAATTAAGCCATTGATTTTCAGGTATTTTTGCCAAGCGATCCCCCATATACCTGGTTGATAGCCAAAATGTGGTTTAATGTGGGAGACTCAAATCTTCATCAAACCATTGTTCATCTAGGTACACGCTCTATTTTTGGATAGTTTGTGTGTAGCGGTCAATAGATGTATCAGTATTTGGTTTATTTTAAGGTTGTTCACACCTAATTTTGGAGAGCGTGTGTGTAACTGCTAATACTGTAAATGTATTATATTTGGCGTGTACGATATTTGTCGGAAATTAAATTTTCACCAAGTTAGCTTAGATTTGATTTAGCGCTATCTGAATGTGCTAGATGTTAACATATAGTAGACAAGGCACTTAGCGATGGACTTGATTTAGCGGATTCTGCTTTTCGCTAAATTCGCTAAATAGAATTCACCGCCAATTGTAGTACGTTTACAGTATATGTATCGCTTTTCGGTTTAATTTAAGGTTGTACACACCTTATTTTGGAGAGCTGTGTGAAGTGGCCAATATATGTATCAGTATTCGGTTTACTTTAAGGTTGTACACACCTAATTTTGGAGAGTGTGTGTATCGGCTAATATATGTATCATGATTCGGTTTACTTTAAGGTTGTATACAACTAATTTTGGAGAACTGTGTTTAGCGGCCAATAGATGTATCACTATTCGATTTATTTTAAGGTTGTACACACCTAATTTTGGAGAGCGTGTGTGTAGCGGCCTATAGATGTCTGTCTCCTTCACATCCTATGTTTAAACTGCTGGCTCCTCATCTTCTCTACCTTATTGCAATCAATGAGTAGGTATTTTTCATTCTTTTGTATGAAAATGAATTTTGTATGTAGGTTTTACGTGTACAAACTGATTTCCATATAACATGAGAGGTCCAAATCCTTCTGTAGACCATGCAATAAACAAAGAATGTGGGAGCTTTAGATTTGGATTTGGCAGGAATCTGGGCGCAATTGAAAAGTGAAAATTTCAATAGTGCGACATGATATGTAAGCATTCTATTGATTAATAGGGTTCTTGAGATATAGAAAGGGGAATGTTTTCCCGATATTGTGTTTTGATTGTTATGAATGATGGCTATAGATGCGTCATTTGGTACAAAATGTTACATATTACACATGTTTTTATATAAATTAGTTACCAATTGGTCATCTCTCTAAGATTTTAAAACGGAATTTTTGTTCATTTTATCTCAATGAAAAGAGCAAACATTCGTAAAAAAAAAAAGAATGAAAAGAAATTGAGAACCTATTAAAAATTAAATTTAAAAGAATCACATTGTGTAAATGTTTTGCTTCAAAGTTGTTTTAAAACGTTCTTACAGTATTTAGCGATGATAGCGCAGCGGTATATTATCTGACCATGATGTTGAGTAATTGATAAATCATTGCTCGGGGCGTTTATTTAAGTTTTAGAAAAAATGGACAAATGGCACAAACTTCCAGAATTCAAATATATTTGCTACTATAAGTACCCCTCTAACCTTAGAAGCAATATTTGATTAGTTAAACAGCTTAATACTTGGTCAGAAAGTGAAAAGTGCAAAAATGCAACTTTACAGTTCAATGTATCTTTTGAAAAATTTTAGAAATGTAAAAAGTTTTCTTGCTGCAAAGTTTCAGGGTATATTTTTCAGAGTGTATGTTATATATTTTACACAAATAAAACTTCTTAATACATTTCTATTGAAAGAAATAATGAAAATATACAATTAGGTGTAACTCTTCTTTGCAGGAGATAAGGATTTTTTTTTTTTTTTTTTTTTTTTTTTTTTGGTGGTATGTATCTTTAACTTATAAATGATTTGTACTTATGATTCCTGCAGATTACATGCCAAAGACGCCCATCTTCCTTCATATGCTATTAAAAAGATTGCAATGCTCTTTTTTTTTTTATCTTTTTTTAGGTCACCTGAGCCGATGGCTCAAGTTAGCTTTTCTGATCAAAATTTGTCCGTGGTCTGTCGTCGTTTTTGTTAACTTTTTACAAATGGACCAATTCCAACCAAAGTTGCCATAAAGTATCCTTGGCTAAAGATGATTCAAGTTTGTTCAAATGAAAAACCATACCTTCTTCCAAGGAGAGATAATTACGAATAAGTTAGAAATTAATGGCATTTTTAAAAAACCCTCTTCTTGCAATTGAAAATCAATTGGCCAGAAAATATAAAACTTATGTGTAAGCATCCTCAGGTAGTGTAGATTCAAGTTTGTTCAATCAAATCATGGCTTCCACGGGGGTAGGGCGGGGCTGCAATGGACGATCAAAGGTTTACAAAGGAAAACAAAAGAAAATCTTTAAATCTCCTCTTCCCAAGAACAGAAATTCCATGATTGGTCATATTTATATGGAAGCCTTCTCAGGTAGTGTAGATCAGATTTGTTCAAATTAAGACCCCCGGCGTGAGGGCGGGGCTGCGATGGGCGATCAGAGTTTTACATACCAATACATAGGAAAAATCTTTTTATAAAAATATTTTTCTCAAGAACAGCAAAGACATGATTGGTTATATTTGTATGGAAGCATCCTCTGGTAGTGTAGATTCAAATTTGTTCAAAACGTGACCCCAGGTGGTAGAATGGAACCACATGGGATGATCAGTTTCATATAGGAAAAACATAGGAAAGATCATTAAAATCCTTTTCTAAGAAAAGCAAAGCTTTGATTGGTCATATTTATATGGGAAATTCTCAGATAGTGTAAATTCAACATTTTCAAAATAATAACAATGTGGGGAAGGGTGGGCCACACTGGATAATCAAAGTATTAAATAGGAATACATATCAGGAATATCTTTACAAATCTTCTTCTCAAGAAAGGCAAATTAATGATTATTGCTTTCATATTAATATTGAAGCATCGTCAGGTAGTGTAAAACCAGGTTTAATAAAATCTTGAACCCCGGGGGTAGGATGTGACCACAGTGGGGATAAAAGTTTTACATAGGAATTTATAGGAAAGATCTCTCTAGAACAGCAAAGATAAATGGAGGGGGATAAAACTAGTAGGAATATAATCTTTAAAAATCTTTTAAAGCCATTTGAAGTCAAAGATGTATTGAAGCATTCTCAGTTAGTGTTAATCTAAGATTGTTCAAAGCATGCCCCCCAACACTTAAGTAGTTGAGAACACTTATCTCTTAAAACTTTTAAATACTGTACTGATTTCTGGGTTTTCCTAGCCAAATTCCTCAGGTGAGTGCTGTGGCCTATGGGCCTCTTTTTTTCTTTTTTTTTTTTTTTTGGTTATTATTAGTATTATTTTATTTTTGCAACACATATTATTTTGAGATGTTTCAAATATCCAGAGCTAAATCGATTATGTTTTTCCATTTTTAGAAATGTTAAATGAAATTTTAATGAAATAGTAAACATTTTTCAGTCGCGGTCTTGAAAAACTTCTTGGGCCTGAAGGAGTATTCGATATATTGGCAGCGGTCGGAAGCAAGGGTGCTGCAGAGCTCATTGCCAAAGGGTGAATATATTGCGGGTTCACGTTTTAACCTTAGTATTTGCGGTAAAAATATCATTATAGCCCTTTGATGGAGATGAGATGCTTGAGTTTCTGATTGACAGTATCTATGTAGCTTTTGGGGAGCAGATCTTCCAATCATCTGTTTCCCACTGGTACCAATTGTGCCCCGTCATAAGCAGACCTATTTTTGTATTCAAATGAAGCAGAATTTATTCAAAATTTTGACCATGAGAAGAAAACAGTTGTTGTGGCATCTCCACTCGACATTCAGATATATCGACGGCGCATTGTCAATTAACATTACTTCCATTCATATGTTGACTCCTTAGATTCCAGTGAACTTGAAATAAAATATATCAAAGAGTCTGACATTCTGTTTTATATTTGGATATTTTACTAGAAAAGACGTTTAACCCTGTATACAATTTTATGATAAACGTTATGACATTAACTTTTCAATCGTCAACTTCCCTTACTTATGTAGCAATATACTCTTATCGCCTGCATATTGAATTTATTTCTCTCAGAGGATTAGATACGCTAGAGCATGCTGTGCGAACGAAAATTTTCTAAAATGAGGCAAGCTATTGACAAACAAGTTGATGAAACAAGAATATCAACATCTCGTTTTAAGTCCCAATTTTGCAATTTTAATGGTCAATACAATGACTTTGTCAGCAAATACAAGATATCATTCACTGAAATGCTGAGTGATGCTTTTAATACGAAAGGTTAGGCCATTAATTACACATTGAATTGTCTCAGGACTTTTCCGTTATTTACCGATCATGACAAGGAACACGCGGCGGATGTGACAGGTCGGCAGAGGATTACTCCTCCTTAGCACCTTATCCCATCTCTGATTTTTAGAGCTCCATGTTTGCTCTACGTCTGATTTGTATTGTTTGAAGGGACTTATGAGCTTCAGTAATGTTCGTTATCTCTTTATTTCATCTGTCGATTTAGCTGCAGATCTGTAGCTCTCCGCGATAAAAATATATTGACAGACCGGAGAGCTACGGTGCCACCCATTGAAAAAAATGTATATATTCATTGCGCACAAATAGTACGCTGTTTCTCGATTTATTTCTCCAGGTTTTTAATATGTCATCTCAAAATATTACTAACCGTGTGTTACTAACATATTCGTTTACAGTTTCCATAACAAAACATTCTTAAGAATTGTTGATAATAGCCCTCCTCGCCCTGAAATTGAGATCATCGAAAATTTCGTGTTTATACTGCCATTTTGGTTTGCCAGATAATTCGGTTCAACGCACGTCTTATAGATGTCAACTACGAAAGTTATAACTTCGCAGAGGAGTCAGGAATAATTTTAAATCTATCTTTTTCGCGGCTAAAGTAATAATTTGGAAGAATTAATCCAGATTTAATTTTTTGTGCGCAATAAATATACAATTTTTACAATGGACGGCACTGTAGCTCTCCGGTCTGTCAATATATTTTTTCCGGAGAGCTACAGATCTACAGCTACTGTCGATTTACAGAGATGCAATGCAAATGGACAGAAAACAAACTAATCAGATCTATTGAATTACAAATTAATATATTGCAATGCACTATCAGAAATGAGGAAGCATCTGTCTCCTTGTTTCCTGACGGGTTCTTGTTACATTAGTTGTGTCATATTTAAGTTTTACTTTTCATTTCACTTCCAGAACAAGTCCCTGGAGAATGAATGTAGAAGGAACATATCCAGAATTTTTGAAACATAGAGGGGTTCGTAATTTCACAGTGACCTTCCTCTTTTAAAAGATATTATCTAAGTGTTAATTAGCTTACTTTGGTGAAATTAACCACGAGCTTTGTTTTGCAAAGAAATTTTACCGAGCAAAATATGTGCTTTTACCACAGTTGTTGTTCTTTTACTCAATAAACCGATTTATTTCTCAAATGTAAGTAAAACTTAAATTTAGAATCCCGGTCAAAACTGTTTTATCATTATGGTATGGGCCAGTTTGTGCGTTTGTTAGCTTGAATAATATTTTTCACACTATTAGACCTGAGACAATAAAACTTTAATTGTCAGTTGATGCATTTCGGTAAAAGGATGTGTTACGGCACAAAAGTAGGTCATGATGCCATCATTTTGGAGTTCAATGCCTAGGCACATCTTGTCCTGAACATAACTTGCACTCTGTGAGACCAAAGACTTTTTCAGTTGATTCGTCGGTTGAAATGAGGTATTGGACCCTCAGAATCGAAAATCCCTTGGGAGAAGGGGTGTTATGAACCAGAAAAAGTTCACCATGGCTTCTTTTGGAATTATTTTACCCCCCGCTTGAAAAGTGGGAGGGTATATAGTGATCGGGATGTCCGTTCGTCTGTTACGCGTTGGGGTACCCATCTCTAATCCACAACTCCTCTTACCACTGAATGAAATTTAATGAAGCTTTTACAGAATCTTTGTTACATAGTGCCATTTTGCACCTCTTTTTTTTACTTTTTGATCGGACATACATGTATTTCGGGTTTCCTACAGAAAAACATGGACACTGCCATTATTATACCCCCCGCTTGAAAAGTGGGAGGGTATATAGTAATCGGTATTTCCGTCCGTCCGTCCATCCGTCTGTACGTCCGTCCGTCCGTCTGTTACGCTTTGGGGTACCCATCTCTTATCCGCAACTCCTCTCATACTACTGAAGGAAATTTAATGAAACTTTCACAGAATCTTCATTACATATTGCCATTGTGCACCTCCTATCTTACTTTTTGATCTGACATATATTTTGGATTTTCCAGAGCAAGACATGGACACTGCCATTATATTCATATGGGAGGCGGGGGTATCATTTAGTGACCTCATTGCTCACAGTACCTCTAGTTTCTATAATATTGAAGAGTACCCATCTCTTATCCGCAACTCCTCCTATACCATAGAATAAAATTTTATGATACTGTACTTTCACAGATTCTTTATCAATAATGCCATTATGCACCTCCTATTTTACTTTTTGAACTGACACTTATTTCGGGTCTTCAAGAGCAAAACATGGACTTTGCCATTATTATCATATGGGAGGCGGAGGGTATCATTTAGTGAGCTTAGTGCTCACAATGCCTCTAATGTGATTTTATTTTTATGGAGAACTTCGGTATGTTACGGTGAATGTATACCAATGCACATGTTACTCATATGACAGGGTCATTACTTATGTCGTCGCTAATGTACCATAAAGTTCTAGACGAGCGTATGATATAACCTAACGTTTCACTTTTTGTCACAATCCCTTGCTTTAAAGTTTTAAAGATCCATTTTTGAAATAAAAAAATTAACTTCTTGTAAAATCGATGTGTTGCAAATGAACCTGTAACTGAGTTTTCAAGGAAAGGCTATAAAATGAAAATTAAGAAGATAAATGGAATTAAATATTCCCTTCCCGAAACCCCATAGATATATAGTGCTCCTTTCTCCAAAATTGTCATCTGTAAAAACAGGAATAATGAGGTATGCGATCAATATAGATGTCATTTTGAGGATCGATGAAAATGTTAAATGTGAAGTCAGATTTTAAAAAGTTTCTGTAAGGTGAAGATTACAAATTACAAAATGGTTTTAAATTTGCTAAGATAAAATTTTGCTCAACTCGCTAAGTGGTGTATATTATTTCTACAAATTTCGCGAAGGTGTTCCGCTTTTAACATGTAGTTTTGTTAAACCTTTTATTAGTTTAACATACATGTATCTTGTGCTGGTTTCCGTGATGTAAATTTCCTTTACCAGCACTGACGTTAAACTCGGTCAATTCCATCACTGTTGAGCACCAACGAAAACTAATGAGATTTAGCTGCTTCCGCCCAATTTATGACGTGAGCGGTCCAATATCTCATTAATAACAAACTAAAATTTAATTTTATCACAAACGATTTGACCTTAACCTTTTCTAACATTAATTGATATTTAGGTATAAAAAAAAATATGTTTGGTAAAACTCAAGATTTACTTTTATTGGGCATATAGAAATCCGAAGGGTATTCTAGAATTGAGGTCTTTAAATTCTTTAGTGTTTAGAAAGTTTAATCAGTTTTTTAAATCAAAAAATTAACAGTCAAATCTTGAAAGAAAAATTAATTCAAATACCTGCAGAAACGAAAAAATTCAATTCTGTGAAATATGTTGCGTAAAATTATATTTTAAGGTTTAAATTTATTAAAACTCGATATTGCTTTGCACATTATTGGTAAAGATTTTTACATTTCGAGAAACATATTAAGAAGAAAACAACTTTAAAATCACCGAGATCTTCCTTTCGACTGGACAAGTCCCCAAAATGATGTCACGGATAGGCTCGCCTAATTATTGCTTTTAGTTATAAATGTTTGTATTTTTGTAGTAGGACTCAGAAAAATCTATTAAAATTCATGATCACTATGTACTGGTCCCAGCTGACAAAGCAGGTTACAACATTGTCTTTGTTCGTAAGGCTCTTTATTTTAATTGTATTTTAGAGGAAATCAATTTACTTCTACAGGTGGTAATCCAACTTATACTCATTGCTCCCTTTCTAAGGAGAAAATTCTTCAAAATCATATGTCGGTTTTTAATATTCCAAACAACCAAAATGAATTTGAATTACCATGTTTATATTGGATTTCGAAACTTCGTAAAAATCCTTACAAATATACATAACGGGTTCCATTAAATGTTTTACAAAGCCTCTTTCTTTATCCCTCACTAAAATATTAACAGCAGTGAAGGAGAAACTTCAGGAGTACTGTACAACAATATATTATTTGAAAAGTGGTGTAAATCAGAAACTTTTGGAAAATTTGAAATCAATTTTTTTTACCAAAATCAATAAAATTAAAACTTTTCAACTCTATGTACAATCTTTCCCCACAATAAATTAAAGTCCAGGTTTTTTTAACATCATTGACATCTGTTTTTTTTTTTTTTGTTTTTTTTTTTTAATAAAAATGGAACTCGAAAATTTACTTAGCTTCATTTGCCATTTGCAAAAAAATTTGTTTAAAAAACATCCTGATTGTGCACCCAAATTCTCTGAAGTTGATATTAAAAAGATGCTTGAGTTTCTGATTGACAATATCTATGAGGTTTTTGGAGACAAGGTTTTTTCAACAGTTTGTTGGAATACCCATGGGTACCCATTATTAGCAGAATTATCTTTGTATTCATATGAAGCATAATTTATTCCAAATCTTATGCATGAGGAAAAAGTCTTGGTGTGGCCTTTAGCTCGATATATAGACAGCGCGTATTATTAATAAACAATAGTTATTTCAATTCATATGACGACACGATACATTCCAGTGAGGTTGGAATAAAAGACACCACAGATTCTGAAACATCTGTTTCATATTTGGATATTTAACTAGAAAAAGACTTTAATAGTAATCTAACAACAAAGAGAGTTTGAATCTTTTTTTAGAATGAGAAATATTCATTGCATGATGCGTTAGACAGAGAGTAACTGAATGTAGGAATCTCGGGGGGGTTGTTACGGTTGCCCGTGATCGCTGCATGCAGGTGGTCGCTATAACAAGTGTAAAGGTTTTTCTTTTCAAATGGGTAAGAAAAAAATTAGGGTTAAGTATTAAAGAATGCTTTTTGTTTAAAATCTGTATTCACAGCTATATTGCAAGGATGGAAAAATTCTGCCAACGTTTTACCAGCGTGACGATAGTCTAGATCTATATGAAGCCATTCACAGCTACGTCAGCGAGTACATCACTCTCTATTACGGTGGGTATCAAGTTTTTTTCTGATTCATTAATTTATTTCCATGAATCACATTTAAACTTCTTGGAAATCAAATGAGTTGATTTACTTTGTAATTAATTAGAATTTTCTTTATTGACACAGACACTAAAGAAAAAATTATCGAGGATGATGAAATACAAAAGTTCGGACGCGAATTATCAATCCCAAAATACGAAGGAGGCTGTGGAATTTTGGTATGCTACATGAGTACTTATTTCTTTTCTTTAAGGTTTTTTTTTTACTCAAAAAATTATTGACCATTAATTCAAGGGGATTGGACACATGTTACAAACTTTAGTTGAGATCTTCACCATTTTAATTTATGGATGCCTTTTCCGTGGATATCAAATAATGACATTGATGATGACATCCCCTCATGTCAGGGCGGATGACGTTATGAAAAGTGTATAATTGCTAATTAAGATTGTTAGTTCATGGTTATTGATATATTTGCAAAATCCATAATATATATTGTTAATCTTAAAGTTCAATAGAATAAGGAAATTCCAGTACAAACAAGATATCAAGTAGCCAAACGTTTGAATCAGTTTCTATTTGTGTATCAGAAAAATAGGAATGGTCGTACAAAAATGTCATAATAAAAATATCAGAAACAATTTACTCCGGTAATTTGAATTATACAATCAAAAATTTTGCTTTAGATATATTTTTTATTTTATTATTCACACCATATATCCTATAAAAAGTGATATTGTTGTTTGATTACCATAAGGGTGTTCCTTTCAAAGACGGGAAGTTTTGTTCAGCAGAACAGGTGGCGCTCGTCTTCACTTCCGTTATTTTTACCAGTAGTGTTGTACATGCTGCTATCAATTTCCCTCAATACGATACGTACGGATTCCCCCCGAACTATCCGATCAAACTCAATGGAACGCCTCCTAAAGATAAGGTAAGTATTACATTAATAAAACATAAGGTAACATTTTTTAAAATATCTTTACTCATAAATACTACTTGGACAAATATTCAAATCCCACAAAATGTTAAACGTATCATTTATGATCTGAAACTTCTTTTTTTTTTTTTGCTTTACTTTTTCAGACCTTTTTGTTTCAGATTGAATTGTTTAAACATTTCAACTAATTACTGACAGTCATAATGTATAGTATTATAGTAGTTTTACCTTCTACAGTTTGCATTTTCCTTAGTCTTCAGAGACTAGGTCTACGAACAATTGTTGGAATCTCGATGGGTACTAATTGTGTTGCTTTAATTATTTGCTGACCTGTTTTTATATTCCTATGCACATGATGAAGCAGAATTCAAAAAGCTTTTACATGAAAAGAAAAAAAAAAACAGTGGCATTCAATTCGATATTTAGATATAACAATCAGCAATATTCATTTTGAATTCCTACGTTGATTCTATATATCCCATTGAACTCGAAATAAAAGATGCCACACAGTCGTCACATCAGTTTCATATTTGGATACTTTACTGGCTAGAGAAGGATATGGGGATAACGAACAATATTCAATATCAAAGTCTATCAAAGTCTATAAAACAATACAAAATAGGAGCAGAGCAAACGCGGACCTCCAAAACATCAGAGGTGGGATCAGATGCCATGGAGGAGTGAGCATCCCCTGCTGACCGGTCACACCCGCCGTGTGCTCCTTGTCATGATCGGGAAATAACGAAAAAATAGAGACGATAAGGGCCAACTAACAACAACATTGTATAACAAGCAAGATTTTCATCGTCAGCTTTCTCTGTTTTTGTAGTTACATTCCGCTATCACATACATATGATGTGTACGATGCTATTCTCCAGAGCGTGATCTGAATACGATATAACCTATGATATAGTCAGATATTGGCTGACGATCAACAGGAGATGCTTAGTCCTCTTTGGCAACCGATCTCACCTTTGAAATTTCCAGGATCTCCGTTTTATGGCCTGCTCATAGATTTGTATTGCTTGTAGAATTTAGGAGATCAATAAATGTTTATTATCTTTACCCTTTTTCATGATTATTTAAAAATGTTCAGACGTAAAACTATCGAAGGTTTGTCTATAATGTTAATCTATAGTTCTACTGTACAGTAAAAATCTATAAAATGGATGTACCAGTCGTTGTTTAAGACTTTCGCAAATAAAATCATAAATGTTATTTAAAATATTAAACCCTTGGAATTCAAATTGAAGAAATCTATTTATATTAAACCCGTCTAATGATTCCATAATGATTGCAAATAACATTCTAAATATTATTTAAAATATCAAAACCTTGGAATTTAAACTGAAGGAATCTTTTAATATTAAACCCGTCTAATGCAGTTGATGAAGTGTAATCTGTGTTACGAGGGGTCCTGATTCTTACTTTTCAGAGGCCGCTGAAGGAAGAGGAAGTCGTGAAGGCCCTAGTCGACAAGTCTACGGCACTGGATGTTATGACTGTGGTATCAATTTTGAGTGAACGGGCTACTAACGCTCTGGGAGACTTTGAAGTGGACTATATATATGACCCTCCAGCAGTAAAGATCGTGGAGGAGTAAGACATCTGTTACTGAGTCAATGGGAATAATGTTTAAAAAACAGTTTTTAACTGAAAACTGTAAGGGGGATTATTCAAAACCTGAGCAACTTGACGGTAGCCAATTTCTTAAGTGGAATCTCAGAGTTCTGATAGTATGTCATGAACTAATGTTTATTGATTCAATATTTAAGAGCAAATTTTGAAACGAGACAGGCTATTGACAAATAAATTAGTTTAAGATAAAAGACTACCAACAGTCATGTTGAAAGTCAGTATTTTGCAAATGCTATGGTCGATAAACTGACCTTATTTGCATATCACGTGTCTTTAGGTCAATTGTTGACTAAAGTCTTTCAAACAAATGTTAGGCCCTCATTTTCACACTGAGTGGTTAACGGATTTTTTCATGACAAGCAACACGGACGACGAAGGATGCTTATCGCTCCATGACACCTGATCCTAACCAAATACGCTGATAGACGATTAACGACCAATGACTGTTCGAAAGTTCCAAAAGAGAGATGATTAAGGATGAATTCTTTTGATCATTTTACCCCAAGTGGGTCTTCGTACTTAACCATGTCGTAAGATTCAAACTGATAGCAATTTACAAACAAGTTCTTACAGTTTTTATGATTAACATGTTAAACTATATTTATTTTTAAATAAAAAATCTTTCTATGTTGTATTAATGACCAAGACGTGTGCAAAAATACGATATTTACGACATAGGCTTCAGAATAAAAACACATACTTTTCATGCCTAAATGCCTTGATTTATTTTCATTAAATGCTGAAAAGAAATAGGGGGTGGTGATATAAAAAATATCAAAACTTTCTTATATGTGCAGTAACCCCTACTTTTCATGCTATGAAAAGGAGCCATAATACCTAAAGAAAGTGTACAACAATTTTCTTAAAAAGTTTAATCGTAGAAATATGTTTTTCTTTGGTTTTTCGAGCAATTTTCTAGGGAAAAATTTGCCTAATTTTGACACTGGTAAACAACATTTTTGGGCACAATTTATTTAAATGGTATTTATTTGCTCATATTTTGCTTTCATAATCAACTTTGCAATTACTTTCAAGTAAATCTAAGCAAAATTAAGTTTAAAATTGATTGTAATTATAAGTTTATGGGGTATTTTATTGACTAATAGCATTTTTAATGAAATTTCCCATGCTCTGTTTTGGCCTATTTTCGAAGGGTTGAATCTCTCTTAGATGAAAACTAACATCTTTTCTTGTCTTTAAATTATTCCTTGGATATTACACTTTCAGAAAAATATAAGCATGTGGAAAGTTTAATGCACGTTTTTTTCGGATATGAGAAGAATACATCCTTAAATTGAAAAAAAAAATCATAGCTGTTGGTTCCTTATGTTTCTAGAAATTTTCCACTAGGCGACCATACAACTTCATATCAAATACAAAAATATATTTGTTCCCAAAATTAATTTTACATATAAAAAAAAAGTAAATTTAATTTACTACAAAATACCATTCTTGTCTTAGAATTTCAAAGCTAGATTTAAACCAGAGTGCAAAATTTTTAGAAAGTCAATTTGTCCTCTTAAGTTTCTTATTAATAAATAATCAGTAAATGGTGAAATATTTTGATGTCGTTTAAATGTAGAAAACGCTTTTTTTATTTTTCAGATTCAGACAAAATTTGAAAAACATCAGTTCAAAGATTCGTGATAGAAACAAGAAGTTGGTGAAAAAGTATGATTATCTTCTGCCAGAGGAAATTCCAAATTCCACAAGCAATTGATCCTCCTTGGTGTTTCAAAGCTTTCTTTTCATATACTATTCTAGGATACAAAAATAGAAAGATTTTATAACGTTATTAGTTTCCTGTGAAATCATTTATTTTCGTGGTGATATAGTTTCCATTGTTTTCGTTGTATCAAATCCCCTTGAACTAATATGTTTTTCTCAAACCACAAACATCTGACCCCAGGAAGTCATTTATCAGCATGAAGAAAGTCTTTAAAATCTTTGTTTAGAGTCCTATACTCTCCAAAGAACATTAATAAGTTAAAATTTAGAAGATCGTATGTATGACATTATCTTAAATATTTAGTGAATATACCGAGTGTCCGCTTAATAAACATATTACAATTTAATAAAATGTAGAATGATGTTAAAAAAATATAAATGAATGTGTGGGGTTTTTCAAATAAATGTGCATTTATTAAATATTTTGTTCTATTTTTGTTAAAAATCATGGGTTTTAACTGAAGAAACCAATATTGTTTGAAGTGTAACAGCAGGAGGCGCGTTCTCGATAGATACTGTGAAATCACAATTTTTGTGAGGTTTTTGTGTGGGTTTTATTTTTGTGGTATGAAAAAGAGCCACGAATTCACATTGCGTTACGAAAAGTGAACATTTCATGCTGCTATATAATGTTTATCCTTTAACAACTTAATCATATCCCCTCCAACAAGTAAGTTTTACTTTAAACCACGAAAATTTGACCCCAGTAAAATACGACATAGAGATTTTACAAACTTATCTTTTTAGTTAAAGGTGTCCCTGAAAATCAATTCTTACTTACCTGAATAATGCAGAAAAGGTTACTCTTGAATGTACATGTACAAGACAAGGAGAAGAAAAATACAAGATATGTCATAATCCACACTCAATCATAAAGCAATATTGCCAACAGCCAACATCAAGGAAAAATGTTATAGTCAAACGAGAAAAGAAAAAGAAAACGCAAATCACCTGCATACAGAGTATATATATCTCAGTTGATTCGTTACGCAAGAGCATGCTCTACGTATGAACAATTTCTAAAACGAGGTAAATTATTGACAAGCAAGTTCATGAAACAAGAATATCAGCAGTCTCGTTTAAAGTCATCATTTTGTAAGTTCTATGGTCGATACAATGACCTTGTCAGCAAATACAATTTATCATTGAGTCAAATGAGTCAATTTATCATTGAGCCAATTGTTAGTCCAGTATTTATACACTGAATTGACGACGGGTTTTTTCGTTATTTCCTGATCATGACAAGGAGTACACGTTGAGTGTGACCGGTCAGCAAGAGATGCTCACTCCTCCATGGCACCTTTTCCCACCTCTGATGTTTTGGAGGTCCGTGTTTGCTCTGCTCCTATTTTGTATTGTTTTATGGACTTCGAGATTGAATATTGCTCGTTATCTCCACATCGTTCTTCTAAGTTCAGATGCTGTGGTGCCGACACTGTTCAAAATTTTGAAAAAAAAACAAAAACAAAAAAACAAAAAACAAAAAAAACGCATCAGCTTCTGACGATCATTATTCATGTTGAAGGTTTTAATTATATATGTATGAAAAAAAAAATTATATATCGCAAATTTTGTACACAACTGGGGTGTTACAAAAAAATTATGCCATCACTAATGATTAAAGTATTCTTAGAGTGATCAGTTTTTGCAAAATAAGTATTATAGCTTATGCATTTGCCTGCAAAGAGGAATAAATATATACAAGGAACGTAGGTGAGGCCTGCTACAGGATTAACTAGGATATATATAAATATAAGAGTGATCAACCTTCCATATAACTATATTAGCTGATGCATTTGCCTGCAAAGGAAAAAAATAAACGGGTATGAAGACTGCAATAGAAAAGCATTTCACATAAAAAAAAATTGTAGAACTAGCAATCTTCATTTTAGTATTGTTCATAGTAGATTCCAGTGTAAACTTTAAAGATATACGAGTATTGAAATAATAGAAACGTAGTACATATATCGTGTGTATGAGCTAGTAAATGAGCTGCATTTTATGTAAAACGTTATGCATTTCCTCATTCTATTTTCTTCCTAGTTCCAATGAGAAAAAAATAATGAAGAAAAAAGTATTATGGATTGGCAAAGCATAGAATGAAAAATAAACACATTTCTTACACATTTCATCAAGCAACAGATTTTCGTCTCGGTGGAAAAGAAATATATAAAGATGCAGCTCCATTGTTTCTGGAATCTTTTACCGGTACTAGTATTTTGGGGCCTACGAATGAAGGTTGAGATTTTGTTGTCGTGAAAATTAAAATAAAAAAAGACAACAACAACCAAAAAATACATGGGAATCAAAGGCGAAAATAAAACAACTTGCTCCATTTTGTGATCAAGGTGCACAACATTTATTACGCAACTTAAATTAGGGGAGGAGAAAATAGAGGGAAAATCAGAAACACATGTATTTGATTTTGTTCCCAGTAAATCTAAGGAATATTAAGTAGTCTCGAGTGTGTTTTGTCTCAAGATTTGTACATGTACAAATTTATATTACTACTTCATGCGTTTTGCCATTGATTCTGCGTACATAATCAAGGTACTCTTACTTGTATTTTGACGGCTCATATCGGCCATCGTACTTTTGAGCTTGAATACCGTTCGTTATCTCCATTTATTTCATGTATTATATTCTGTAGATTCTAATTTTTTGCAAGAACTTATTATTGCGAATGGGCTCTTCAAATTCAAATCGATAGAAGAATAATTAGCAAATAGACGAGTGATCACGAGATTTTTCAAAGATTTCAGCACCATAAAAATAGAGGCGATTAATTTTATTTTGCGTGTGGTGCCTTTCGCGAAATTTCACGATAATTAATTCCACGCGTATATTTAGGAATCAACAGTAGCGTCGCTTCCTTATTTTTCTCTTATAGTTCTAATTAGGTGGAAAACGACTTCATTTTATTATGGTTATATATTTTATTTTTCAGATTCATACCGGATTTGAAAAACATCAGCTCAAAGATCCGTGAAAGAAACGAAAAATTGGTTAGAAAGTACGATCATCTCCTGCCAGAGGAAATTCCAAATTCCGCCAGCATCTGATTTTACAAGATGTGAAATATTTTCTTTTGACATATTTTTCATTTAGTATAACTGTAGTAAAATTCTATAACGCCATAGGTCAACTGTGAAAACACCAATTTTCTGGGTGGTTTAATTTCCATTTTTCTTCATTGTATTAAATCCCCCCCGAACGTATGTGGTTTCCATAAACCACGAAAATCTGACCCCAGGAGAATAAGTGATTTTACAGCAGGAAGGAAAGTCATTTAGAACCTAACCCGCTTTTTCCTCCAATCAGTAGCTGCTAAATTTTCATATGATCTAACTCTTACTTAAATCTTATGTTAATCCCTATACTCACCAAAGCATTGCTGTAATGATAACAGTGACTAAAAGGTTAGAATATCGTGTGTAAGACATAATTAAGACAGTATTACATGTATATATGAAAGTGAATATAAGATTTAATAAAAATAAAAGATGTAAATGAATGTGTATGTAGTATTTTTCTCAAATAAATGTGTATTTATCAAAGATTGTGTTCCTATTTCCTTTAAGTTATATTTTATCCGAAGAAGCCAATACCTTTAAATAGATTTAATTTTGAATGTAAACTTCCGCCATTCCTCTGAGATCAACATTATCTTATAGCTTTATGCTAGGTTATAAACTCATATTATTTATTTTAAGGCGAACTGTATATTACAGAAAATTAAACGCAAAATTCTCGTGTCTACTTGTTAGTTCGAAAAAAAGGAAAGTTGAGGTTGGAAAAGTTTAAAACATCTTGTTTGTCTTACACGTTGTTGACTATAATTATAAAGTCAGTAAAACATCTAAATATGAAACAGATGTGGTACACTCTATTGAGTCTTTTTTTTAAGTTCACAGAGACATGAAGTCGACATACTAGTATGTATGAAAATATATTGTTAATTGAATAAAAAAAAAACATCGTCAATATATCTGAATATCGAATTGAAGGCCACAGCAAGAGACTCCCTCTTCTCATATAAAACTTCTCAAACTTCAAGGTCAAGATCACGAGGTCAAAAATCATAGTTTATTGTCAAATGTAATACACATCTCTAATATGAAAGTCCTCATCTCTTCTCCTTTAAAAGTTTTGAAATATGTCAAACTTCAATGTCAAGGGGTCAAAAACATCGTGTATTTGGAAAAGTCTTGTCACAGGTTATATACAAGTGTAATATGAAAGTTCTATCTCATATAACTTAAAATGAATCAGAATTTGTCCAAAATCTTATGCTTGAAAAGAAGAAAACACTTGCTGTGGCCTTCGGCTCGACATTTAGACATATCGACGACGTACTGTCAATTAGCAATGGTAATTTCGATTCTTATGTCGATACATTATATCCTGGTGAGCTTGAGATAGAAGATATCACAGAGTCTGACAGGTCTATTTCATATTTTCATTTCTGATTGACAATATCTATGTGGTTTTTAGAGACCAGGTATTCCAACAATCTATTGGAATTCCCATGGGTACAAATTGCGCTCCTTTATTAGCAGACTTATTTTTATATTCATATGAAGCAGAATTTATTCAAAATCTTATGCGTGAAAAGAAGAAAACACTTGCTGTGGCCTTTAACTTGACGTTTAGATGTATCGACGACGTATTGTCAATTAATAATGATAATTTCCATTCCTACGTCGATACGATATATCCTGGTGAGCTTGTGATAAAAGATAGCACAGAGTCCGACACTTCTGCTTCATACTTGGATATTTTACATGAAAAAGACACTAATGGTAATCTAACAACCAAGCTATATGATAAACGTGATGACTTTAACTTTTCTATCGTCAACTTCCCTTACTTATGCAGCAATATACCTTCATCACCTGCATACGGAGTATATATATATCTCAGTTGATTCGATACGCAAGAGCGTGCTCTACGTATGAACAATTTCTTAAACGAGGTAAATTATTGACAAGCAAGTTCATGAAACAAGAATATCAACAGTCTCGTTTAAAGTCATCATTTCGTAAATTCTATGGTCGATACAATGACCTTGTCAGCAAATACAATTTATCATTGAGTCAAATGTTGACTGACGTTTTTCATACCAATTGTTAGTCCATTATTTATACACTGAATTGACGACGGTTTTTTCCGTTATTTCCTGATCATGACAACGAGCACACGGCGGGTGTGACCGGTCGGCAGGGGATGCTCTCTCCTCCATGGCACCTGATCCCACCTCTGATGTTTCGGAGGTCCGTGTTTGCTCTGCTCTTATTTTGTATATTGTTTAATGGACGTTGAGATTGAATACTGTCCGTTATCTCCATATCCTTCATTTAGATATTTTATTTGAAAAAGACGTTAATGTTAATCTAACAACGAAGCTCTATGAAAACGTGATGACTTTTCTTTCGTCAACTTCCCTTACTTATGCAGCAATATACTAGTACCTTCATCGCCTGCATACGGAGTTTACATATCTCAGTTGATTAGATACGCAAGAATATGATCTACGTATGAACAATTTCTACAACGATGTAAATTATTGCCAACAAGTTGATGAAACAAGAATATCAGCAAGTCATCATTTGGTAAGTTCTATATGGTTGATACAATGACCTTGTCATTAAATTCAATTTATCATTGAGTCAAATGCTGACTGACGTTTCATCCTAATTGTTAGTCCATTATTTATACACTGAATTGACGACGGATTTTTCAGTTATTTTCCGATCATGACAAGGATCACACGGCGTTGGTGACCGGTCGGCAGAAGATGCTCACTCCTCCATGGCACCTGATACCACCTCTGATGTTTTGGAGGTCTGTGTTTGCTCTGCTCCTGTTTTGTATTGTTTTATAGACTTTTGATCTTGAATACTGTTTGTTATCTTCATATGTTTCATCTCTTGTCATTCAAAAGATATGGCCAAGATTAAGGTTTTTTTGTGACGGACCTACAGATTGACTGACGGTCAGACGAATGTGATTTAATGTCCCTCGCTTTTGCGAATTCGGGTGACAATGAGGAACACCAGCATCCTTTAAATTTCAACTTCAAAGTACGCGTACTAATGTTTACACGCAGAGTGGTTTTTGAATAGCGAGGTGTTGCTGATGACCAATCTCGGGGTGTGAAAATTCCTATTTACGATTTTATTGAAGAAACAATTATGATATTTAAAAGTCTAGATTTTAATTTATCATAAAATATTGTAAAAATTGTACAAAATTCGTGAGTTTTGATTAAATAGAATTTTCAAATTTTTGTGATACATATCGGGTTTCAGGGAATGTTCAACCAAACCTATTTCTTTACTCCTCACTAAAATATTAATAGTAGTGAAGGAGAAACTTCAAGAGTACTGTGCAACAATATATTCAAGAAATGGGATGAAATCACATCTTACCAAAATCAACAGATTCAAAGCTAACGACTTTTCAACTTTATACACAACCATTCTCGGTGGTAAATCAAATTCTATGCTTTTTTATATCATTGACAGCTGCTTTTTCAATAAAATGGAACTCGAAAATTTACTTACCTTGTCATTGGTCATTTGCAAAATTACTTTGTTAAACACATGCAGAATGTAGACACATTCAAGTACTCTGAAGGTCCATGTTTGCTCTGCTCCTATATTGTGTTGTTTAATGGACTTTTGAGCTTAAATCCATATATTTCATGTTATTTAGTATAAGTATTTCCTTTCTATTCATAATTAAACCTTCGGAAAATCCGATTACCTTCAACAAGTAGCTAGGGCTTTTTTTTATGGATAACTGCTAGGCAGTGATCAGTTAAACACACTCAAAAAAATTAACTAGTTGTTAAGGAATAGGATCTTATGTTTTTGATCACTTGATTTTAACTAATAAATGACAAAGCCAAGAAAAATGAAAAATTACAACAAACTTAAAGCACAATACCATAATTCAATAGAGGGGGTTATAGCGTGTCATACATTCCAAAAATATAACAACCCCAAATTACGGTAGAATATAAAATGTCATACAACTGTACTGGGACTAGAACATTATTCGTCTGTCAGTGGTGACGATGACCACTGTCTCATCTTCGTGGGGTAGGGGGTTGACCTGGAGGGTGTGAGCGGAGGTGACTGGTCAGGCCGATCCTCGGACGGAATAGTCTCGGACAGTGAGGGCAGGGGATGGTGGCAGCTGCAGGGTCATTAGCGCTGTCTTTCCTGGCCTGCCTGCGTTGTTCTTCTGCAGACGTTTTGTTGGCTTCACATCTCTTGGTGCCCTCGTGGAGTGCGGCTTTCCACCCACACCTGTCTTGTGTTGCAACTTCCCGTGAGTCAGGCTTGATACTGAATGCCTTGAGAGAGGCCTTTAGGCTGTCCTTGAATCGCTTTCTGGGGGCCACCACGGGCACGCTTTCCTTCTGTAGTTCGCCAAAGAGTCGTTTCTTGGGGAGTCGATTGTCTTGCATACGGACTACGTCTTCCGCCTAGCAGAGTTATGACTGCATGAGCATGGTGTAGATGCTGGGCAAGCCAGCTCGGATGAGGACATCTTTGTCTGGTATCTTTACTTGCCACTTGATACTGAAGCTTTCGGAGGCTGGTCGTGTAGAAGTTATTCGGCTTTTTGGCGTGCCTCTTTGTCATGCTTCACAGCCATACAGCAGTGTAGTTAGATCCACTGCACGGTAAACCTTAATATTTGTTTCTGTTATGATGCCTCTTCTGTCCCACACGTTCTTGTAGTCTGTAAAACGCAACGCTTGCCTTGGCCAGTCTAGCGTTTGCCTCGTCATCGATCACAACGGCCCTGGAGAGAGTGCTACCGAGGTACATGAATTTGTTCATTACATTTAACCGTTGGTTGTTGATGGTGATGTTGGGCTCAACATATGGTTTGCCTGATGCTGGCTGGTGCATGACTTCGGTCTTCTTTGTGCTGATAGTAAGGCCAAAGTTGTCGCAGGAATCAGAGAATTTGTCAACGCTATTCTGCATACCGGTATTTACATCGGAGGTAACGTTGAGGACAAAATCAGCAGCAAACAGGAGGTCGTTAATGGTTTCTGATTGGACGTTTTTCTAAATGCTTGTAAACGTCTAAGGTTGAAGACGGGACCATCAAGGCGCTATTTGATGCCGAGTCCAGTGTCCGTGCCATCGAAGGCATCAATCAGCATGGCGGAGAACATCAAGCTGAAGAGCGTCGGGCGATGGATGCAGCCCTGTTTCACTCCATTGGAGACAGAGTATGGCTCTGAAGATTAGCCTCCGTCTTGGACTCTCGCCTGCATCCCATCGTTGCAGCTGTCGAATGATGGGGGTGAATTTTGTTGGGCATCCGTACTTCGCCATGATTCGTCAAAGGCCTTCTCTGCGGACAGTGTCAAAGGCCTTTGTTAGATCGACGTAAGTGGGGTACAGGTCGGAGTTCTGTTCCTGACACTTCTCTTGCAGCTGACGTGCAGCGAACACCATGTCGATTGTACCATGATACTTCCGGAAGCACTGATTCTTGGGCAGGAGTTCATCCTCAAGGTGTTTAATGAGACGTTTAAATAGAACTCGCGCTAACGTCTTGCCTGCGATGGAGAAAAGGGAAATTCAGTGGTTGTCGCAGGCCTTTTTATTTCCCTTTTTCTTGTACAGCTGGATGATTGAGGCAACCTTGAGGTCTTGAGGTACTTGAGGTACCTATATGAGCTCAAACAGATGGTTGATTTTTTCGACTAAAGCCATGCCCCCTTTGTAAATCTCAGCTAGGATGGAGTCTCCACCATATGCTTTGCCAGTTGACAGCAGACTAATCGCCTTCTGGATCTCCTCCAACGTGTGAACTGCGTCCAGTGACTGGTTATATGGAACCTGGGGCAGTCGGTTGATGGCTTTGTCGTTGATGGTAGAGAGATGGTTCAGAACGCCATTGAAATGCTCCGCCCACCTGTCGAGTATATTTTCGAGTTGAGTTTAGAGACGATGAGACGGTGATCTGTCCAGCACTCCGTGCCGCACATAGCCTTGGTGACACGAATCGCACGCCCTGTCTGTCTCTCTTCCTGACGATGACGTAGTCAAGGAGATGCCAGTGCTTTGAGCGAGGGTGCTTCCATGACGTCTTGTTACGAGTTGGAAGGCAAAACGATGTTTGTGATGAATAGGCCATGTTCAGCGCAGGACTGGAGAAGCAGCAGACCGTTACTGTTGCACTTGCCCATTCCGTGCTTCCCCATTAATCACGATTTCCCAGGTGGCGGTTTACTTTGAAGAAGGATATGGAGATAACGAACAGTATTAAACTCTCGCATTAAAGTCACCAAGAATGGTGAGCTTGTCGGCGTTGGGGACGGCATTGATAACATTGTGGAGGTCCTCATAGAACACGTATCGGGGTATTTAGTCTCCTCTGTGTTAGTCAGAGTAGGAGCGTATGCGCTGACAATAGTGGCGAACTTTCCTCGAGTAAGGGGTAGCCTCATCGTCATCAGTCGGTCGTTCACTCCTTTAGGTACACCGACAAGTTTGCCAGCAAGTATCGTCTTTATAGCAAAGCCTACACCAGCTTCTCGTCTCTCCTCGGTTCCTCGTCCACTCCAAAAGAAGGTGTGGCCAGCGCCTCTTTTACACAGTTCTTCACCTTCTCCATCCATCCTGGTTTCATTGAGAGTCGCGATGTCAATGTTATATCTCGCGGGTTCGCTTGTTGTCTGTAGTGTCTCTGTCGAAAAGCGTTCAAACGTTCCACCATCCAAGGTACAGTGGGATGATCCCTGTTTTCTTCTTGTTAAGGTCTTCCGTTTCCAACGGAAAAAAGGAAATGACCCCTTAAATAAGAGGCCCAGAGGGGCCAAGAGACTTGCATCTATAGCTCTTTGATAATATTATCTAAATCAAAAGAATTTCATTAAAAGAGAGAAAGCATGATATCATTATGTTTTAACAAAGATCAGAGTCAAAATCATATCTCGTCTTATCAAAAAATCGGACAGAAGACCTACTCGTTGCTCGCAACGAGATCTCATCTAGTTCTTTTTGTTATTTCGACCGCATGTGTAGAGTCCCCACCAGCCGCGGTAAACTGGCTAAGGATCGAAGTGCACTCTCTACCATCGGCTCATACATGTACATTCACCTCTGTCGTTGGCTCGCGTATATCACAGTGATAAACACGAGAAATAGTGCATTTGTTTTAAGTCATTAATATAATTCAATTTATATGTTTAATAACAGTTTATGTCTGACTTTTCAGATAGATATTTACTAAATTAATCCAGAACTTTTAATTTAATTTGAAACAATCCTGCAAATATTACTTTTTATACGTTATGTCAAAAATCTTGACGCGAGTCCATTGCAGAGGTGTCTGAGAGAGGAACGAACGACAACTCTGCATAGGAGATTGATCTAAGTGTGGAGCAGGCAATGTTTGGAATACCTGTTCCTTTCCGCTCCTCTTTGCCATGGAGGTGAACAAACCCTAACCCTAACCCACCGTACCTAAAGAGGGCTGCTCAGTCGCACAGGTGGCTGCCGAATTCTAACTCTGCTCCGGTCGGTGAAGAGCTATCCTATGGCCTGTGCCTCCTGTGTGCAGGTCCGAGACTAGCGACTTCCAGTACCTGTACTTGTCAGCTTCGTTGCTCGCCTGTCGCCATAGGGCTTTGGGTGAATGATAGATGGGATGGAAGATGATCGATGACTTGCGCGATATGTTTGATTAAAGTGAAGAATTTTGGGTCGCGCGTCGCCAACCTCACTCTCTCGTCTGCAACCATCTAGATCCAGTGGCAAGACATTATGTCAGGACGTCTGGAGATGGAGACAGATGCAGTGGAGGGAAGTGGAGGGAAGGGGCGTCAAGCCATTGCAGGTCGTGAGACACTGCCCACTGCCCTGAGAGAGGCTAGAGTAAACAAGTTATAAGACGTACAAGAGCATCATTCCTTAAAATTTCAAATCTCAATTTTGCGTAGTTTTCTCGAATGTCAGGGCAGGCCATAATTGCAACAAAACGTCAAAATAACTTATTACATCTTTTGCGACCGGAAGTAAAATCATCAAAAATAGAAAGAAAAAACGTCCCTAGAGAACATCGTACGTTCCCTATCATCTCTGAAAGTTTCATAAAAATCCACTGAACAGTTACTGAGATACCGGTGTAGGAAAAAATAAGAAGATCGAAGAAGAAAAGGAAACAATACAATCTAATTTAAGGGTCTTCCGCTGAAGACGAAAGACCCAAATAATAAAAGCGAAAAAGAAACAATAGAATGATAGAAGAGTCTACCGCTG